CGCTGTTCATCCATCGACGTCGGTGCTCGTCGAGTTTAGAGGCCTCGTGGTCGTCGCGGGCAACCAACAACGAGGTTCATTTCGGCTAGGCGCCCGCTACACGTGACATCTTCCTGGTTGCGGTGGGCGCAGTTGACGTCGTCCTCGACCACCACCACTGCCTCCAACAATGTCGTCCTCGTTCGCCAAGGCTCTCTCGCCAGCCATCCGTGAGGTTCGCATCTTGTGCTGCCAGACAGGTGCGGCATCCGCCGGTACCAGGTACGCCGGGCAGTTCCGCGCTTTCACTCTGACATGCTCACATCCAATTCTTTTTCGCTTTCTACGCGATTTTGCAGGCAATTCATCACCTCGACATATCCTGTCTTGAAGCAGCACAACCCGGATTTGCCTGTTCTCATCCGAGAGGCGAAGGGTACTCCTGCACGGGTATTTGCGCGGTTTGGTGCGTCACTGTGTCCAACCTGTGTCGCGTCTTATTACTTATTGACGAGACCAATATCGTAGAGCGTGGCGTAGAGAAGCACGTAGATGTTGAGAATCTGTCTGAATCCGACGTTGCGTCCCGGATCGCACAGTTGCTGAGTGTATGATGGTCCGACGCGTATTCATCTCTTGAAGCTGCATTAACTTTGGTTTACTGGTATCAACCGTGAGAGACGTGAAGACAACAGAACAAGCAGTACCGTGGTGTGTATTTTTTTATTACACGCTTGCCCGTGTCCACAGAAGTCTGCGCTCCTTTATCAAGCCCTCAGCGTCCATCGAAAGCACCGACTAGAACCGACGTTCCCGTTAACATCTCCGCATCACGTCGTGGAAGACGATATCATCCACAAGCCATTACTCAGCCTTTAGATGTACCCGCATAGAACGATCTTGGCATCAAGCTTGGGGCAAAGACGATAACAACTCTCATGTTGCTCTGAACCCCGATGAAGTCGTCTTCAGCAACACTCTTTGGTTGTGGCAGCTCACAACTTACCCATGACCCCATAACTTTACCAAGATCAAGCAAGCCTCTTTCGTTGACACCGGGCGGAATCATTGTAAGGCATCATTATGAAATCATAGCGCTATATGCTCAGCCGTCTTCAGCACCGTGTACCTATTCCAACCTGCCGACAGGTCCTAGGCGTAACTTCAGACCGTGCCATCTCCAGAAACCCACGCCTGCCATGCCACTAGCGGCCTCTGCCAACCTACGCCCAGATGTCGCTGATAAAATCATCCGCTCCTTTGGCACACCAGCACACGAGATACCGAGCGAGATTGTCCCTGTCGACAAGCGGTAGAGTAAGGACATGCGACCACATCTGCCGTCACTGGGCTACTAGCTAGAGCTACACAATGGCGGCGACGATCTACGTATGCGGAAGACGATGATAGACCCAGCTCGCCCGGCACCACACCGCAACTTTGGGGTCCCCTAGTTTTGTGGTATCTCATTTTGGGCAAGTAAATCGTCCCGTGGATTCAGCACTTACCTCTTGAAGTATCAGATCATGCGTCGTGCCCCGAGAGATGGAGCGCAGCCTCACGATCACGCGCGAACTTACATCTCTATATTACGCCCCTCTCTTCTGAATCGGAGAAATCGGCCTACGTCCAATCGCAGCTGTCTACTGATATCTAATCTCGGCGCGTTGAGAGGTGCAGTGCAGTGTTTATTACACGCTGTTTGGGGCACACTGATCGCATCGTACTATGGACTGAAGGTTCGCGTTGTAGGTAAGTACATCAGAGACTTTCCCTTTCTCTGGACAACGGACTGAAGGGTCTGTTCCGTAGCCTCGGGCGCGCCCAACTTATCAGCCAGGTAGCTGTGCCTGAACGAAATTATCTGGACCAAATTTCAACGCTTTTTCGGCTTGCCGTCGCCTTTGACTTCGTGTAACTTTCTCAGACAGCTGTGAACCAACGCGGACTATGGATACACAACATTGTCCCAGGATGCCTCGCCCAGCTCCTTCACGTAGTCGAGAATCCATTCGTACGTAGCCGAATGCAAAATAATTGACTTCACAAAGGCTCATATAGACGGGCGACTACAGCAGCCGGGCGGAACATACATGCTGCGGACAAAGAAGCTGGGTGCCAACGTAAGACGCGAGTCGCAAGGCATCCATGTCCGCTCGTCTTCAGTGCTTAGTGACGCGTCACGGACGCGTCATAGCTGGGTGTCGGTCACCATGTGCTCGCTCAACGGTAGACATATCATCACCCCCACGACCAAGCTCTCCGTTACTGGTCTTGCATGCTGCGCCTGCCTCGATCCACTGCTTGCAGTTCACGCACCTTCCATCACTTCGGGCAATACAGCTCTTCTCTTATGTATGATTTATTGTTCTGGGTGCAGGTGACGCAGCAAGACGCGTTACGTCACGTCGCGTTGTTCAAGGAGAGCGTGCTGGTTTCCTACCCGCCGGGTGCTCAATATATTTACTTGTTCTCGTCGCACGACGTGACCAGCCATGATCATAGTGGCAGCTATCTAGGTACTTTGAGTTGAACAATCGGTGTCGTTGCACATGTTAGAGAACCACCCAAGCCTTACATGACAGTGCGACTGCAAGAACATTACCCAAGTGACGACCAAGGCATTGATGTCGGAACGAAACACAAGATTATCAAGGGATAGTATAACAATAACGACGTATGGACGCGTCAAACGTATGTCGTCGTCTTCTGTAGATGCACGAGTGCGTTAGTGAACTGTCTACTTGGTATTGGGTACGCCACTCGCACCAAATCTGAGCGGGTCATCTTGCTAATCCTGCCGCCACCAGCTCGGAGGCCCGTCTGCGCCAACCATCTGCCTGAGCTTCTCAATCTTGGCAGCATCCGTCACTCTCCGAGGTAGCCCGTCGCCGGGGTCAGTGGAGGCGATGCAGAAAGCAACAACACCTTTGCCCCTGACACAGATTGGCCGGACCTGCCGTAACAAGCCGACTTGCGCTGCGAGGGTGGTTATCAGGTCCACCATAACATCTGCCCTCGCTCTAACGGAGTCGTCCTCGGGTTCTATACCAATCTCTTTGGCACGACTGATAACCCACTGGTATGTAACTTTGTAACCGAACGCAAGGGGTCCATCCATGGCAGAGCAGAAAACTATGTCGACTCAGCACGCGGATCGCATTTGCCGAGAGGTAGTACTTACCGGTATGGTAGTAGAGATGAAAGATGCTTTCAGTGAGTGTTTTAGCAATTTTGACTCTTACTACGGGGTTTGACAAATTTCTGTACTTATGCGCTCTGAAACAATCACGAGCCGTCTTAGAACATACCTCGTAGTTTCTATTGAACGGCCAATATTCTAAGGGTATTAAGCTCAGGCTGTTGGAGGCCACCCGAATCTCACATAGTTACGCCGTTATGACCACTCATGCATATGTTGTAAAGTGGCGACCAAGGCATTAAGTTCTGAGCGAGACATAGGCCTAGAACTACCGGGGGGGAGGGGGGGGGTGGTACTGAGAGCGTGACCATATGTCCGCGGCGCGTCGGACGCGTACTCTAGACTGTCCGCCAAGGGCTAGGTGTGCCACACACATCTGAGCTGAGCGGATTGCCCCATTAGTCCTCCCACCACCAATTCGGAGGCCCATCCACTCCAATCATCTGCCTGAGCTTCTCAATGCTTTCAGCATCCGTCACCCTTCGGGGTAGCCCGTTGGTGGGGTCAGTGGAAGCAAGACAGAAGGCAATGACGTCTTTGCCTTTGACAGAGACTGGCGCGACATATCGGGACAAGTCGGATTGTGCGGCGAGAATGGTCAGCAGCTCTACCATAACATCTGCCCTGGCGTCAGCAGAATCGCCTACGGGTTCCATGCCCATCTTTTTGGCGCGGTCGAGGATCCACTGATACGTGAGTTTGTAACCGAACGCACGGTGTCCAGCCATGACAGAGCAGAACCTGTCTGACATCAGTACGCAGGCCGCGAACCTCGAGAGGTCTTACTCACTGGCGTGATGGTAGAGACGAAAGATGTCTTCAGTGGGCGTTCTGCGGAGGCTTATATACACGGGCGGCTCCGAACAAGAAAGCTGTCTTCAACATACCAAAAGGACTTACGCTCCGCGTTCGTCTGATATTGACAATAGTATGCCTGTCTCGTACTCCCACAAGAGCCTGTCTCTTGTTTCGTTTTACGAACAATAACGCGGTCCTTGTTCTCTGCAGCTTGTTCCGCGTTCGTCTGCCAGTATTGCTGGTATGTGTCTTACAACTTGAAGATAATGTTTTTATTTGTAGACAAGGACCTGTCGCACAATAAGTTTGTTGTGCGAGACAATTCTATCTTCAACCACACACCCGGTATCATCGTATCAACAGCTGCCGGAGCGATCATAATTCTCGAATAGGTAAGTGTTTTGTTCGAGTCTAAGACCTTGACCTTAGGGATCATATTGTCCGTCGTTCTTGTTCTATTGCCGGCAATACTATGTCTCTATATTAAGGCGAGTGCGTCGTTGAATCCATCCATCTACCCCGTACCCCCTCAGCCCTCGAATCACAAGGCGATGTCGGACTACATTGTTCAAACCCAGCAGCAGGCTTCAGCCAAGCTAGCGGTCTTACGCTATACTGGGCTGTCATACCTCGCCAATACGCGAAACATAGAAGCACCCTGGTACGCAGAAATGTTAGAGAGAATGAACACCGTTCTTTCAGGTGTTTCAACACGGTCCTTGCTCCCCAGTTCCCTGTGAACGTGATGGTGGAATTAGACGAAGGCGGAGATGTGGAGATGGAGGTCGAGGAGAGCGGCTGCGAGGGTGACAGTGGTGAGGATGGTGGCAATAACTCCCCCGGGGCTGAGCCTGTGTCAGCAACTAGCAATCCAACTGGACTGAGCTACGACAATGCTGAAGAGACAGATGAGAGGAAAGTGAGTGAGGAAAGACCAGCTCAAGTCTGGCTTGTTATTGAGCAGTACAAGCTCCTTATATACATGTCAGACTCAATTCCTAGATTATACTACAAATATATGGAGGTGTATAGAAAGAGAAAGAATACTGTGGAATCCAGGAGAACCATCCGGAGTATGTAATATTCATGACATTACCCCCCCCCCTCTAGAATCGTGTCCTCATGATTATTTACCAGTAGAACCAAAGCCTCCCATTCCTCGCTTAGTTTCTGATAAACTTAACACCTCCTCAATCTCACATGACGCAATGTGTTCCAGAACTACTTGTGCAATTTGATCACCGGCACATACCTGGAATGTTTGATTGGTGGTGTTGATCATCACCACGCATATTTCTCTGGTGTAGTCTCGATCTATGACTCCAGCACCAATATCAATTCCTTTGACTGCTAATCCACTTCGTGGTGCAATTCATGCGTAGGTTCCATGAGGGGCATGCATTGCAATACCAGTACTAACAATCTTACAACTTTGTGCCAGTATCTTGATGCTCTCGGCTAAGTAGAGATCGAGACCGGCGGCTTCTTCTGATCCTCGTTGCGGAAGTTTTCCCCCATTTGCTGTACCAAAAGAGTGGTATCTCGTGCAAGTATGTGAACTGGTCATGTGAGAAGAGGGGGAATGTGGATTGTCATTGGAGTGGGTTTGTCCGGGTGTCTCGTATGGAATTCTTGAAGGAGTTCCTGACAGTTGGTCAGGTTAGCACGCAATTCCCATGAACAGCAGTCTCCGTGAGGGCTGTGCTTCCAAAGAACCTGATACTTGAGATTTCCATTTTGATTGCGGCACGAATCAAAGATTTCTTCTACTTCCCATTCTTCCTCGCCATTTACAAGGTCTGGGACTCCAGGTTCATGTCATTGTGAAGGGAATACAGATTCTTTGAAAGGACTTAGTAGGCTTTTGTTAAAAATGGGGTGCTGTTTCCATTGTCGGGAAAGTTCTAATTTGTAGGCAGAAGCTCTGATTTTGCATTTAACCTTGAACAGTCCATATCGCTTATCGTCGAGCTTCTTCATTGGTCTATCGGTTTGAATATTGACCCCTTCTAGCCAAACTTTGTCTCCGGCTTTGTATTCTGGTCCACTCTTCCTTTTCCTATCGTAGAAACGCTTCATAGATTCTTGCGCTAGACTAATAGTGGCACTGGTGTCTTTGCAGACTTGACTCATTCAGTCGACAAACTGTTGAACATTCTTGCTTAGCCCTTCTTGTACTGGCTGGGTTTCTTCGTTGGGGTGGTACCCTTTATTAACAAAGAAAGGAGTGTAGCCGGTAGAGGAGTGAACTTTGGTCTTCTGACATTTCTCACACCCGGCCATGTATTTCTGGATGTCTTCCCAAATTCTGGGCCACCAGTAGTTACATGTAACCATCTCGTGCATTTTGTATTGGCCAGGATGTCTGGCCAATGGGGTGTCATGGTGGTGAGCAATGATCTGTTCTCGGAGTTTCCTATTTGCCGGTACGTAGATACAATTTTTCCATGTCACGAGTCTGGTACTATCTTCGTTCCAGTCCTTGTCCTTATTCTGTAGAGCTACGGTAACTAGCAAATCCTAGTTCTTTTTGTATTTTTTAATTTCTGCAACTCAGTCCTGGTCGACTCCTTCTAAACTAAATACGGTACTGCAGTTTAGAGCATGAAAATGTTCTAGTTTCAATAACACGATATCCGAATTGTCCTCTTTCCCTGCATTATGTCTCTTCTGTCGAGACAGCCAGTCGGCTCCACCATCAAACTTTCTGGGTTTATAATGCAGTGAGTAGTGATACTCAGCTAGCTCAGTTACCCATTGGGCCTGTCATCGATTAAGCTTCTGTGGCTTCCAGAAGTATTCCAAATCTTTGTGATCCGTCCATATTTCAAACGGATGCTGGGCATCCATAAGATACTGATGCCACTTGTCAAGACTGATCATTATCACAAGAAGTTCCTTGTCATAGATTTCATAGTTCCTTTCGGCAGCTGTCATAGCTTTTGACAGGTAGGCAACGGGTTTCCATTTGCCGTCTTGCTTTTGGGCTAGTTCTGATCTGATGGCAAAGTCTGAGGTGTCACATTCAACTTGACACAGGTCATTGTCACTTGGTATGGCCAGCACTGGTGCTGAACAGAGGGTGTTTTTAAGGCCGGTGAAGGCAACTTCTTGTTTGATGGTCCATTCGAAGGTGGCATTGCCCATTAATGAACTGAGTGGCTTAGCTATTTTGCCATATCCTTGGATGAATCTTTGGTAGAAATTGGTGAAGCCAAGGAAGGCCTGAATGTCTCGTTTACACTCGGGTCAGGGCCAATTGATTACTCCTTCTATTTTGATGGGGTCCATACGAACGATGCCTTTTCCTACTATCATGCCGAGGTATTCTACCTCTGTTTTCTTGAACTTGCACTTTTCCGGTTTCAGATAGAGTTTGTGCTCTCTTAGGATCTGCAAGACTTGCCGTGTGATCCAGCAGTGTTCTTTTAGATCCTCGGTGAAGATCATGATATCATCTAGGTAGACTACTACATGCTCTTGACTGATGAGATCTTGGAATATATCATTCATCATTGTTTGGAATGTAGCTGGGGAATTGGTTAGGCCAAAGAACATGACTAATGGCTTGAATAACTCTCAATTCGTAAGGAAGGCTGCTTTTTCCTCGTCTCCTTTTGATGTGGATATTGTTGTATCCCCACCAGATGTCCAGTTTCATAAAGTACTGTGCTTGCTTCAGCTTATCAACTAGTTCTTGTATTAAAGGAAGCGGGTAGCGGTTCTTGATTGTCAGCTCATTCAGTTTTCAATAGTCTTGTACAGGCTGGAGACGTCCATCTTTCTTCTTGACAAAAAAGAAAGGAGAAGCCCAAGGAGATTTAGAAGGTCAGATCCTTCTGGTTCTCAGGTTCTCTTTGATAAACTCATCCAGTTCCTTCTGTTTGTTTACTGATATTGGGTAGACTTTGCAGCTGATCGGTTGTGCACCCGGTGTAAGCTCAATCACGTGATCCCATGGTTGCCTTTGTAGTAGAGAATCAAAATCTTCCTTGCTAAACACATTGGAGTAGTTATGATAATGGCTTGGGACCATATTTTCAAAGGTCTTAGCCTCGTGTTTCAGACTCTCTTTAATTACCAGATCAGTGGCCGTGGTGCAAATGCGCACTGCTCCCGTAGCAAAGTAAGTTTCGTGGTCTAGAATAAAGATTCTATCTCCTTCTTCTAGGCAAGCCTCCAAATCGCTGGGTTCTTCCTGATCGGCATCAATATCAGTTAACCTGGCAGCATATTTGCAGGTAATCAGACAACAATCAAACTGGATAGTTTGTTCCTGCCAATCGATAGAGGGATTATGAATTTGGAGTCATTCATAGCTGAGGAATATCAGTGTCTTTCCCAGGTTGGTCACAGCAAAGGAAAGTTGTTCCACATGATCCTGAATTTTTATTCTGAGTTCAACAAAATCCGTGATAGTGCTGCCGGCATTATGCGTGCCATCAGCGTTATAGACCGGTATCAGAGACGGTAGCTTTTTTGTTGCAATGTTGTTATTGCGGACAAACTGCACATCAATTGATGACTTTGTACATCCTGTATCTAGCAATGCTTTGACTGATAGGCGCTGCTGTGTGTCTAGGGTAGTGGCAATCATGGGAACATCCATCTGCATTTCTTTTTGTCCTTGCACAAAGCGAGGTTGCTTCTGTAATTTATTTAGGAAGTCGATTGCTTCCTCTTCTTTCATTTGCCTAATCTGATTGATGCATGTCTCAGAGGCGTCGACACTCTTCTTTGAGTGTACCCATTCAGTCAGCAATCTAAGCGTTGCTGCTTCTTTGCTAACTGTCCATTGGCGGATCCATGCCGCCATCCATGGAGTGTGGTGCTGCCACTGCATAGGTTCGGTCTGTTGTTCTGGAGTAGAAGACAATTTTTTATTGGGGAGAATTAAGCAAGAGGGTTGAGCCTCTCTGCACCACTCTGTGGACACCCCTTTCTTTTGTGGTATATACATGGGTACTTCGAACCAGGAACACAGATAGTTCATGAAATCGATCTCAGTCAACTCAGCTACACCTCCAGCTGACTGTTTGCAAAACCCTTCAGGGCTGTGCAAATCTCTTTGCGAATTGCCGTATTCCAATCGAACGGTTCTGCTGTAGCGGCAGGCGCCTCTGTGAGAGGTGCGAGCAGTGTGAAGCTATTGCCGATGGAGGTTGCTGGTGTCTCTGTTGCCCTTACTTGTTGGGCTTGTTGCCTGTTAGGGCAATTCCGTGATAAGTGACCTTTTTGGCCACATCAGAAACAGAGACCGAGGCGTTGTGCTTGGTCTAGCTCCATCGGCTGACCCCTTTCACCGAATGTCACACTGGTTCCGTCGCAATGCGTCTGGACTGCCAGGGTTGTTGTGGCTGGTATGGCTACGTTAGCTTGTGTTCTCGGTGGATTTTGTGCCTGTTGCTGCCAAGGCTAGAACTGTTCCTGTCGCTGGGATTGTGGGTTTTGCCTACAATATTGCTGCTGGTTTAGGCCAATGCGCGCGACCTGTTGCTTATACAACACATAGGTGTTAGGAAGTTCTTCTGACAAGTTGTACAGAAGTCGAATAATGTCGGACCAGAGTGCCTTTTCCAGAAGCGACTTAAGTTCTTGGAAGTGATTTTCAAAGTCATGGATGTCTGCCTGGAAGGCGCATAACTCAAATTTTGAAAAGAACTCTTGAGCGGTTAGTGTGCCCATCTGCATTGCCTGCAGTCGGTTGTATGCTTCTGCCTGCTCATTGATTAGAAAGTGTCTATCCAGATCTTGCCATAGTGTATTTGTAGTCTGGATCACGGTGTCTTCATCCATGTCTTCATCCGTGTCATACTTTTTCATGTACGTGGTGATGTATTTGCCAGCGTGTCCTCCTTTCATGTAAGACAGAATCATGAGAACTCTGTCAAACTGCTGTGGTAGCTGCTTCCTCTGTGTAACTACATAGAGTTTCATTTGAGTTTTCCAAGCAATGTACTTGGACTTTGTGCCATTGAAGGCGTTGGGCTTCATTGTGCTTCCATTGATAAGCGCGGCATTGTTTTGGTTCTTGGCCATTGCGCCGGGAACTGATGGGGAAGATGGAGGTGGAGAGGAGTTTCAAGTGGGTGGATTAGGTGGTTCTTCTTCAGAATCCTCCGAAGCTTCTATTGGCTGTTCTGGTGGACCTTCAGGTGGTACTTTGGACTCTCCTAGGGTGATTGAACGGAGTTGATCAGTGACCGAATCGAGGGTGTTACGTCTCTCTCTGGGTTCTGAGCTGGACGCTACTGGTTCGGAAACAGCGAGAGTAGTGATGTGCGGGCCTAACTTGGGCTCAAAGCTTGGGCTTGGGCTTGTGGCAACATCGAGCCGAGTCCGAGCCCGGCCCAAGCCGCAGGCTTAAACCCGGGCTTGCTCACAGTACAATGGGTATTGTGGTGCTATGAAAAGGGAGTATGTTTGGATGTAGTAGATTATTGCTGCATGTACTCACTGAATTCAGCCTCCAGAAGACGTACACTTGCAGAATAAGTCGAGTCGCAATGGAGCCCACTAGCGCGCGCCTATGGCAGACACCAGACAGTGATGCACAGTCGTGCTCGGCAGGAACCGTCGAGTCTAGAATATCCATATCATGTCTGGTATGTACATATTAGATCTCTCTCACCTTATTCTGAACTCAGGGGACAGTAACAGAGCCGGTGCACCCAAGCCTGGGCTTTCGGGCCAGGCTTGGGCTTGACTACGCTCCGAGCCCGGTCTTGAGCCCGCTGCCAGGCTTGGCTCGGGTCAGGCTTTTTGGGCCGGGCTTGGCGGGCTTGCGGGCTTTGAGGCCCGGCCTGCACATCACTAGGCGAGAGATTCTGAGGGTTCTCCAAGGGAAACTCTTGTTACTTGTTCTCTGTGTAACCTTTCTTCATACCGTGGACAACGGGTACAATTGTTTGGGGAATGCGGGCATGGCTGTTGTGCACAGTATTGTACTACGTCTTCTTGTTTACTGATGTATTGCCCATTCAGTACCCGATGGTTGTAACCTCTACAATCACAGGAAAGCCTCTCGGTCATGTGCTATCAGGTCTCTGAAGCTTGTTGCAGCAACCCTGGGACCGATCGTGTTGGTATGACCGGATCAGGGGTAGAATTTCCCAAAGATAGGAATTTCCCAAAAGTATCAAAAACACTATTTTAATACAGTTCTAGGAATAGTATAGCAGCCCAAAGAGCAATTACGTCTCTTCAGTCTGATGCCCAGAAAGAGATCGTCGATCTAACTGCTATCGCTTTTCCAATGCCTGGTTGCAACCGGTTGCCATGTCGTACTCAGGAATACCCGCTTGCACTGTGCAAAGCATTTAACACCACCTATGGTAGGGCAGTGTACAATTCTAATAGGACGGAGCTCTGTCCAGCTGCCTAAGAGCTGGTGATTACAGAGGTGGCTTTGGGGGAATGGTATGGTAAAATGTGCAAATGCACGGAGAAGGGTTCCAGGGGTCTTGATGTGGTAGAGTCGGTAGGGTTAGGTTTACAGGGTGAGAGTCGGATGTGTGTATTAGGTGGATCATTGTGTGGAGATGGGTGATGGTTGGTGTAGGAGTGACGAGAATTGTCGTAGGGCAGTTGTAGGAGACTCGAGCTAATGTCAGCAGCTAACAATCCAACTGGACTGAGCTATGACAATGCTGAGGAGACAGACAAGAGGAAAGTGAGTGAGGAAAGACCAGCTCAAGTCTGGCTTGTTATTGAGCAGTACAAGCTCCTTATATACATGTCAGACTCAATACCTAGATTATACTACAAATATACAGAGGTGTATAGAAAGAGAAAGAATACTGTGGAATCCGGGAGAACCATCCAGAGTATGTAATATTCATGACAGCCTGCTGCAGACCTGGACATTAGCGTCGAGACAATCACTATTCCGGTGGACGTCAAAAAGGTTCCTGACTTCTGCATCATTGCAAGCGACTGCAGGCCAGACAACGCCAACGACGGTCGACTCAAGACCTACTTCTTGGGCCACAAAATCAAGAAGAGTCGAGTTGTTGCCATAGTAGTGGAGTGCAAGCGGCACCCCAAGAGACGCCGGCCTGAGAAATTCGCGCGGAAGCTTTCCGACTACATACTTCTTGGGCAATTTCACGCGCGAAAGCAGGGCATCGTCCTCTTCTCCGCCGACCAAGGCGTTAACAAGGTCCATCTCATCGCCTCTGGCGGACACTACTGGAGACACGCGCTTCTGACTCGCGATAATGTCACTGAAGAAGCAGGAGGTGCCGACGCCACATACGTCGATGCTCCGCAGGCGGTGCAGTGGTCTAAGACATACGAGATGGGTACTCCTGTGTCCGGCCGAAAGCTGAGCTTGCTGAGGAGGAGCATTCGGGAGATGCAAGAGGCGTTATGCAGGGAGTAGAAGAGGGCCAGCTGAACCGTGAGTCCTGGAACTTTGACTGCACCGGCCAGATGCTCATTGCTCACCATGTGATACCTAGGCCATGCTGCAATAATGGCACAATTACGAGATTTTCATGTGGGAGAAGATGCCAGGGTTACTGAGTGGTTTATAAGGTTGAGTGTGTGTTCTCGGATTAATACTGAATATCGGCTGGCGCTGTATTATGCGAGAGAATCCGCTGCTCGGATGTGACTATAGAAAAGACTGTTTATGCACTCAGATATTCTATATTCATTACCAATCTAATCAGCACTGGGTGAATAGTGGGAGTCGATCGGTACGCCGAAATAGCCACACTACGGGCATGAGCTGATTTCAGATCACCTGAAATGTCCCGGTCAAGCCATCAAAAATGTTTCATTTTCGGAGACTTAACCGGGGCTTTCTGGTGTCCTAAAATGATAGATTTACCACCACTTTTGTAGCCATTTGCGGTGCAGGAAAATGATAAATTTTGTGTAGCCTGAAATGAACCTGAAATGACTCAATATGGCTACATTTTGGTACGGCAAAGAGTTCATGTTTCAGAAGACTTTGTGGTGCATTTCAGGACATCTGAAAGAACATATGTAGAAATCATTTCCACCTCATGTTTGCAATGAGGAAAGGTACGGGCAAGGAAAACTTTTGATGGTCCTGAAATTATCATTTACGGCAAATTTGTAGTACGTTTCTAGGACATTTTTGGCTTATCTCAAGTAAAAATCTTCTAGCTCATAAAATGGCTTCAAAATCCATCAGAAATGGCAATTTCAGGACCATCAAAAGTTTTCCTTGCCCGTAC